TCTTAACCATACCACTATCAGATTTACACATCTTAACCATACCACTGTCAGATTTACACATCTTAACCATACCACTATCAGATTTACACAACTTAACCATACCACTATCAAATTTACACATCTTAACCATACCACTATCAGATTTACACAACTTAACCATACCACTATCAGATTTACACATCTTAACCATACCACTATCAGATTTACACATCTTAACCACACCACTATCAGATTTACACATCTTAACCATACCACTATCAGATTTACACATCTTAACCATACCATTGCCTTTACAGAAACATCAACAGATGTCACAGTGATATCCAACCTTGATAACAGTAACAGTAACACTTTCTTGAAAGAATGGTCGAATTAAGATGAGAAAAAGATTATAAAAGCAATACATGATTAAAGTCATAAATAACCCCAGTACCTTTTATCGTCCACAACATGTGTCCTCTGATGCAGTGATAATGGTTTAATTTGATACTGTCTGACTTGACATGTTTTTGGTTGCACTCTAGGAGTTACATATGCTTGTAATGTACCATACTGGCCTTCAATTGACCTCACTTTCAATTCCAGTCTTGTAGTGTTGGCCTGACATCGATACGTCGCTAATAGGAAATTACCATTCTAAGTAAGAGATGGAGAAGGCATATTAAATTAATTTAAACTTTTATTGTAGACTGAATCTGAAATGTTGGTAAGTGAGTGTTGTGTAAGTGCACCTATTGGATACACAAGTGTGCAACAGTGCTCACTAGTGGCAAGTATCTGTATTCTGATTGGTCAATCAAGTTTTCATCCTTTGTTTCATGTTACCACTTTCTACATAAAATAGCTAGAAATGCTAAAACCATCACTTGTAAGCAATGCACCTGACATTACAGCATTATCACATAGAATATTGGAATTACCTCACTTAGTCAAATGAGTCAAATGGCCTAGAATTCCGAGCATTAAGAACAAGATCACTAAGAGTTACCTGCATCCCATTTGCCATTCACAAGGACTCCTAGAACATAGTTCCCAGCATCCATTGCAAACGTCAAGTAGAAACAGGGACATATAGAAATGGCAGTCTTGTTCTAAAGGATGAATTTCCATCTATGATCATATGACATAAATTGTATATACTCTCTATTACAGCTTGCTGTCATTCAAGCATGTGCACTGATGTCAGGTAACCATGGAAACAGTTAATGAATGAGAACATGATTGACCAATAATATTCCAAGCAAATTTCTTCTGTTGCTAGATGTGCTAGGACACACAAACTGAGAACTAATCAATGGTTTGCGAATCACTCTGGTGTCAATATCACCATTCAATGTGAACAGCGCCATTTAGTGTTGAATTACTAACCTCTGTGTCACATGCACTGTAACTAACCACAGCAGAGTTCTTGTCCACATCCAGTAAGTCAATCGGTACATCACTTTGCAGTAATACATTATCAATGGCCATCTGTACTTCCAGACTCAGAGTATAGCTGGCATCATCTCGATTCAAGGAGAACTTGTCATTGACATTGAAATGTGGTATAGCTGACATGGCTTTAGTGCTATGTGATGACGTCTGGTATTTCTCTCTCTCAATCATCACACGCTTTTGTAATTCTTCCATCTCTTGTCTGCACAAATAATGAGAATGTGTAATAAATGTCCCAGACTTGGATGATACAGTAAAATAAAAAATTTAAAAACAGTGTCTCTTGGCGTCATTACTAACATGAATCAAATCGTAGATCAGGACTTAAATTTACATAAATATTTATAAATAACTAAATATTAGGATGCTCCCATGAATGTGTGTTATGTGCAATCAATGAAGTACGACAATTCAATCTCTGAAAATGTCTGCAACTTTAGGAATGCATTTACAGCAAGTCTCAGAAGTATTGGGGCAGCCAATTTGCAAACTTGCTAGCGAATTGGCTAACTGCTTAGGTTTTGACTATTAAAACGGTTGGCTTTCTAATCTCACTGGTACCGACTTGTGATTGCAACCACTCTGGGCAAGTCTATATTGCATTAGGGGACATAGAATGCTTTAACGTAAGCCTGGTACATGTCTGGATTCCCCTGAGTGATTTGAGCCCAAAACTGGTCACAGTCAGCTGGCGTACAAGTGATAATATGATAAATGCGATTAATCCATATTTACTTAATGGGGGTAGCCATCTTGAACAATGCTTGAAACTTAATAGACAAGTTGAAAAACAATTTCCTACAAATCAGGGAGAAAATAACAAACTATCACATCCAAACTATCCGTTGGGGTAACATTAAGCCAACCACTAAAAAAAAACGACCTCATTTGTTGTTTTTGCGTTGACACTAAGAACATAGAACATTTTCTCTGGTATATTTGAAAGTGCAATGGCCATCCAACTGTAAGACCATCGCTGATTTGCTCTAAAAGTATGACGATCAACAAATTGGCTGTCCCAATACTTCTGAGACTTGCTGTAAATATCTGCGTCAAGCAAACTCAACCAAATAGACAATGTGATAGGTCAGACAGTTTTTAACTGACATTTTGAGTTTATAAATGTTTATTAATTAATTATAAAATCACATTTACATTATACAAGACTAGTGTGTGGCTATGCCATTACTAAGATTCTGTTTACCTTAGATGTAGTATCTTAGCCTGTGTTTCATCGCTCACTTTCACCTGATCTCCGGGACCAGCTTCTTTATGCTGTGGTTCAGTAGTTAAACCCATAATCCAACCTAGTCAAGGAATAGTTAAGATGGAATAAAAACAGTAAAATGAACTATGAAGTATGAGTGCTTGACATTTATGGAGACAGTTGCCTTAATCTTTTCAACACCTTAATTTGTGTTCACTTATCCTGTATTTTTATTTTTCTATAATTTGTCATTGCCTAGACATCTTGATCAAAATATTGGAAAATATTCATTTGTATTTTGAAATGGTTGTCAAATATTGATTCTAGCCTTCAATGGGTTAATGGCCCCTTTCTAAATAGTCAAGAATAATAACATTCAAACCATTTCTATAGAGTGTAACATTGAATTGAAGGATATGTTCTATTGCATAAATTATTAACACCTATCAGTGGGAAATTAGAATCATAAGATCTTTTTCAGTTTAGTTTAGTTCCCATTGGAAGAACAGAGAATAACAGCAATGTAAACTATTATTATACAGTCTGCCCTCTGGTGAGCTGGTGCAGTTATCTTTTGTTTTAACCAGGGGCTGGTAAATTATTACTATTATTGACATAATAATCATGATGTAACTTAAGTTTTACAATGGGTGCAGTGTCAAAAACTCCTGGTTCAAATAGATAAATAATTCACACTGACAAAATGTTGGTTTTTATACACAAAATCCCTGTTCATTATGAACTCTAACAATTTATTTTGATATAACTTGATACTTCAATGAATGATAGAGAATTGAATGCAATGTAAACACACTGTATAATGATACCTAACTCTATAACATTGTAGATATTTGCAAAAATCTTACCGGCATATGTACATGCCAACACTTCATCATATCCCTGTGTAGCCACGATACCACCTTGAATAGACCCAACACTCTCACTCATTGTCTGTTGATAAAAAAACACTACATATTACATATATAATATTAATCTGTTGTTTGTTTTTTTTAGAAAGAACTTCTGTGATGTTCATACCCCCCTCTAGTGTTCATACTTAAAAACTGTCCTTAATTTGTTTACACAACGGAATGCCAGTAAACAGCATTCATTGTTACTATAACAACCTATGAAACATCATCTGAAAGCTTTGATACGGGAGTGCATAAGCCATACCATACTTTTTCTACTATTCCAACCATTGAAAACACCTATTTTTAACACTTCCAGTCATGTGAATCACCTGTGAATTTCACAGGATGTTTGTAATGCTGTAAACTAGACAATCGCATTTTATATTTTGTTTTATCGGTAGTACCGGTATGTCTGTAGTTATTTGGTCAATTGCTATACTAATTAGCTATCAGTGCAGGTTATATCAATGATGACTTACCTGTCCAAACCTGTGTATAGGTTCATCAGCTTCATCATACCCATAAACTTCAACCAAGCCATCATCTCGACCAAGTAATAAATCTTTGACACCATCCGCAGTGATATCGTAATTATCCATGCACAGGACACCTCCATAACGTTTGTCATTCGGTATCTCCCAACGATGGCTTGGACCCAGACTGTAGAAACACATAGAAATGTTTGCATTATAAAACCATAAATTAAATTCAAT